TCCACCATTTCCTTCTCCACCTCAACACGCTTCAGAATCACGGCGTCCAACTCTTGCCCCACCGCTTCTGCGTGGCCGGTCATGGAAACCAAGGTGACGGCGAAGTCGCAAACACCCGAACCCCCGTTCGCCAAAGCGCTCATCATAGAGAGGCAATGAAGAGCGTAAGGGAACTCTGGATGCCGGGCACTGCCAAGCACATACTCGGGGTTGAAGCGCCTGTCCACCTCGTCCCACATGAGCTTCATCGCTGGGACGTATTGCCGGTCTTCATGAGCGCCAGACATAATTCCTAAACTAATTGGCTAGGCTCAGCTCACTGCACTGGGCGCTCCGGCCAAGGTCAGGGTTCTCTGCAAGTGCAAAACACGCGTGGAACTCTGCAGCAGCAAGCTGCACGCGCTAAGAGCATTTTCACTCTGCAGCCTCAATGTTTAGAGGGGCAAGAGCCTCTTCTGGCCTATAGCCCCCTTGAACTCCACGCCATATCCAAAAGAAAGAACTGAAAGCTGTACTCGTTCATGTGCTTAGTTTGGTGCTTGTATTACTCAGCCAAGTGAACGTAAATTCACAGACTGAAGTCCTGACACCTTCCAGCAAGGCCTCATTTGCTGGCAGACCCGGGTCGCAGGTCTGCCTGCACCATGCGTCCACATGTCCAGCCATGTGAAACTTATCGATGTCTCCGGCAGCTCCAAAACATACATATCTGGAAGATGCTCGGAGCGTTTTCTTCCCAAAGAGCTGAAGGTTATGGGGTCCCAGCCCAGGTAAGGTTTTGGTGCAGGCCAGGCGGAAGGCTCAAGAAAGGTTCCGGAGGTTCTGGGCTGGTCTGCATGGCTCCAGAGGCTCTGGGTAGCAAGGTTCCGGAGACAGGCAGGGCGGCTCTAAGGTAAGGTTCCGCAGGGTTCCGCGAGGGTTCCGCAGAGCTGCGCGAGGTTCCGCGAGGGTTCCAGCCTTGAGGCTTGCAGCACAGTGGCACCAGGGAACCCAAATGTGAGTATGTGTTTGTCTGAGGCTGCCCTTTTTGGGTTGGTTGAGGAGCAAAACGTAGCAGAACAATTTTTTGAGTCCCCCCCCTATCTGACACATGCCCATCTTCCTCTTCGGATTGTTTGGCCTTCCGTGCCCTGGCGGAGACAAACATAAGCTCAGGTGAAACCCCCAACAGCGTGAGGCACATTTCGTGTGCGCTCCTCGGAACCAGCCCCCTCCCCACAACTCGCAACCACCCCACGCATTTCCCCGGCACCCTGCTCGGAAACCAGGTTGTGGTCGACACTTTTGGAGACCAAGTTTTGGATGGGTACCGAAGGGGGTTTACCGGCTGGAAATTTTGACTAGTTGGTACATCATGGTCGATGTTTTCTTGGGATGTAGTTTGTGGGGGTTGTTTGGCTGAATTGGCGTCTGCCTTCTGACTTTGGTCCTCGCGTGTGCCACACCATTTTTTTTTGGATCGGGTGTGTCAATCTCTTGATAGGAGTGTCTGTACAACTAAGTAGAGGCTAAGGGGACCATTTCCGAGCCTGAGAGTAGCAATGCGGATGACTTGGCTGAGAGCCGGGTAGAGCGAGTAACATCCAGCTAGCGTACCCATGGGTTGCGTATGACAATCGATTGGAAAAGCAAGTGGCTACCGAATGCAGGTTATCAGGATTTCGATGCTATTGATTTGCCATTACTTTGGTGCATTTTGCTTGGGTGTTAGGACTTTAACTTTTTGCCACTTACTGGGTTTTCCATTAAACCACTAAAAGTTAAACTTTTCGCAGTGGAACAGAAAGCAACCGAGATTAGTTTGTGGCACTCAACATAGCCAGCAAACTAGCATGGACCATCTTGTGGTCGATATAGTGAAAGAGACCTGCTACGTCATCTCTTTTGCACTTGAGCTCCTTCACTAGGGCGACACTAGATGGCGCCAAATTGTCATTCATCCCCTCTTACCAAGGGAATTGTGCCATCAAAGGATACTGGAGCTTCTAGGATTCCCGAAGATGGGTTTGTCTTTTTTTCCGCATTTGTTTTCTGCGTGTTTGACGTTTGTCTTTTGGCCTTCGTTGGTATTTTGTGTGGCAAGTTGGGGGAGTCTTCTGGGGTGTTCTTTGGGCTCCACCTGTTGGACCAGCCCCCGCTCAACCCCTACGGACGCCAAGGTCCGGCACAGGCACCCAGGCGGGGGTCATGGAAGACATGGATTTTATGGGCCTAGCAGGCAGCTTGATAGATAGTTTGAGGCGATGCCACACGGGTTTGTATCTAAATGCCAGATCATCCTCTTTCAACTTGGTTTCTCCCTAGAAGGAACCTCAAAAGGGTGATATTACGAGGGACGTACTCTGGATTGGACTCTGGGAGGTGTATGTTTCGGCCCAGTGCCGCCTGCGGAAGAGTCCCTTTCTGTCTTTCTTTCTTCACTTCTTTCATCATTTCTTTCTATTCTTTTTTTTGTTTTTCTCTCTCTCTCTCTCTCTCTCTCTCTCGCTTTGTGTTTTTTCCTTTCCACCTTCTTTAATGTGTGCCTGTTTCCTCCGGGTGGCACCACCCATTTTAGTCTATTTTAGTGGGGATTGGGATGTTCACTGGGGATACGGGCTTTTGACCCACACCCATCTGACTCAACGGAGCAACAACTGCTGACGCATCTTGATGCTGCGACCAACCTTGACTTGCAGTCATCATTTACCTCATGCGAAAGGTAAATGCATGCACACAGGGGCATTCCTAACATCAGGGACTGAATCAGTCGAAGGGGAAGATACACCCACCTTACACAAAACCCTCCCCATTTTCAGGAAGCACCCCCAGGAGCACGCCCAACCGCCTGCTGGGGGCTGTTGACACATTTCCCAACCCCCCCCCGGCCCGCGAGCAATCATTGCTCTTGCACCCTTTGCTGTGTAGAGCCAAGCCTAGTGACTCACGGGCCCTCCTGGCTCAGGATTGGATTGGATTTTTGGGGGTGTGCTGAAATAGGAGTCGCTCTTTTGCCCAACGTGGCATATGCAGCGGTTTCCCCGGAAGTTCCCTTTTTTAGCCGACCCGATGGGAATTTTGTGGCCTCAAGAGAAGACCGACAAGGCTGGCCTTGAAGTCTCGTATGGCTGGCCTCGAGTCGGCCCGAGGTTGGACCAGACTTTTGGTGGCATTTTTGTGTGTCCTTCGCGGTTTCCCGTTTGGTTTCCAACCTTTGGCCTGAAAGAAGGAACACCAATGTAATGCGAACCCCGTTCACGAGGGGGGTCGCAATATGGATTGGTGAATCGACATGAAATGCCCCGCAACAGCACTTATCTTCGGGTCCCATCCCAAGTTTTGTGCAGCCAAACAGAACTCGAAGCAACAAGAACTCCACCCAGAGAACAAGAGAAGCCCACCCAGAAAAGCTGCTACAGCAACCCCGCATCCAATTCGGGGAGTGAGCAAGTGCATGCAAAGCAGCAGAGTTTTGGCAAGCGCCAGAGCGGAAGAAACATCAAAGCGATTCCCACCCACAACTGAAACCAAAAGCATGGCCCCCCTCCATTCTCCCCCCACCGGAACGCGGAACAGCCATTTACAGCTGGTTTCCTGACCCGTTTCCTGCGAAGAGACCTCGCAGTTCAGCATACCCTACAGCTACTGGGTCCCCCAGTAGTGCCCTTTTACCCTTTTGTGGGGGGAGGGTGCCCCTACTAAAATCGACTACAGAAAAAAAGTTGGTACCCTTATTTCAACCTCTCTACTGGAGGACCTGGAAAATGTGCCACCCGTTACCGAAAAAACCAATCCGGCGTGCAGGCCCAAGGGTCGACCCTCCACCGCCTACCGCCCACGCCTGGACCGCAAAGGCGGGGCTCTTGTGGATGTTTTGAGGTCGGGTTTCATAGGGAAACCACTCATTTTGACTGGGCTCACGGGTAATCCTGAATCCTGTCCTTGGGTTCTGCAGGGTCGAAAAAAGACCCTGTAAACCCTGTAAGCCCTATAAACCCTGTAACCCCCACAAACCCTATCCCCCTTTGTAGTGGCTTTCCTACAGGGATTAGTGGTGGCCAACCCTCCATCTTTGAAAAACCCAGCTCATGAGGCGACAAACCATGGCCGACAAAAACGGAAGTCGGACATGGGTTGGCGGCCAGAAAAGGAAAACAAAAACAGGCCCATAGGTGTCCTTTTTGGTTGATTTGGTTGAAAAATGGAGGGCGATTCCTATTTTACCTGGGGGTTCAATCAACTACCATCTATTTTCCCAAAAAGGACACCTATGACCAGGCCATGTACTTGTCTTTTGTTGCAAGGTACTCGTTTGGGGTCGCTCAAAAAAAAGCAGCCCATGGGCGAAATCTTCTCTCCACAGCGACGTGGGTGTGTCCTGGGATGGTCCCTACTAGTCATCAATGGCTTTTGAAAGACGACTCACCGCTTTTGGGGTAGTGTGCACACCACTCGCTCCCCGAGTTCCTGGACTTTACATATTTCCTGACACGAGCATTTTAAAGCAACTGGACTGTTTCAGAAGCCATCCAAGTGAGCCCATGTTAGTCAGGGTTTTCTTTGTGGAACCTCCAACAGTGGCGATCGTTTCAATGGGACATCGCAGGTAAGTTTGGAATTGACGGGGAAATCCAGTGACGCCTAGGAGGGGAATACCCTCTCTCCAACAATCATGAAAGCTAGCAAGTGACAAGCGGGTGTTGGAAGACAGCTTTCCTTGAAGAAGCCACATGTGCACTTCCATCGTTGGAGATAGGGATGGTAATGTTGACCCCGGATTAATACACCCCTGTTTATTCCCCGATTTTAATGGGGATTCAGACCACTTTTGGAGGCGAACACCCCCATATTAATAAACAGGGGTTGATTACTCCGGGGGTTGATTCCCCATTCTTTTCAGCCATCGTATTGTTTTTTTAAAACCAGCCATTTTTGCAGGGTGTGTGGTGGTTTTCTAGAAGGAAGGATGCCTGGAAAGAATGGGGAAGTTAGCCCTAGAAACATCAGTCCTTCGAACTGCCAGCTTTTTGCTCGAAGCAGTCGCTCCGCGCGCCCACGCGCCGCGGCGCGCAAGAGCGCGCGCGAAATCGGCGCCTCGGCGCCGGCGCCGCGGCGCCATGGTGCTTTTGAGGCCGCTGGGTCGGTCGGGTGGGGCTCCCAAAAGGGTGCAACCACTGGAGAAGTGATGTGGCAGCATGAACTTACCTCTTAAAAAACACAACTTTTCTCAACTTTTTGGGTAACATGGGCTATATGTCTGTAAAAGATTAACTTCCCCAGGGCTTGGAGTTTTAAGGGGCAAGTGAATGTTTCCATATCAACCGGCATTTTCCGTTTTAACCTTCGCTAAGCCAATCAAAAGGCATGTCTTTTGGGGCGAACACGTTTGGTATCATCCGAACGGCGACGGCAAAGGCAGCGGTTCCACTGCAGCTCACGTGGGGGGAGCCCAGGTTCGGACTCCGGACGACCCGTCTTGGCACCGGCCATAAGCCGCGGGTATGAGAGTGATGGTTGCCCCCAAGGGTGTGCCTCAATCAGAAAAAACAACTCCAAGTGGTTCCAACAGGAGGTTCCATAGCTTGAGCGACACCACTTTGGCCGTATATCCCATTAAACCCAAGAAAGTGGACAAATTACGAGATCGCTCCCAAAAAGAAATGAGGAATCAACACATCCATCCAATACGATCCAAAATCACCAATTCAGGGACTTCAAATCTGGGCAAATTACTATAGTGTATAGCTCACAAGCTGGAAACAAGGAAGCGCCTGAGGGTGAGTTCGCTATAATTTGCGCATAATTTATAGACGTTGGAGGACTGTTTCGTTGTATTCTTGTGCTGATGTTGGTTTTGGCGGCGCGGCGCAATCAGAGCGCATGAAGACATCATGAACTGAGTTCATCCCCCCACCTCCCCGGCATTCAACATGTGAGTCGCGCTCAAAAACGGGGTAAGTGAAGGTTAGGGACAATCCCCTTGCCATAAAATGCTTTTCGGATCTCCGCCTTCTGAAAGTTCGTGGAACCTCGTTGCACATTGTAGCTGCACGGGCTGGCTCAAGGCGAACTGAATTTTAAAGGTTGGAACCCCCTGAAAAGTGGAGGACATCAATCCCCACCAAAACGATGTCCAAGGGCCCCCAATTAAAATTTATACCCAGACACAATTGGCCCCAACAGGGAGGCACAGCCACAATATAGGAGCGCTTCTTTTTTTTTTGATAAATAAATAGGGGACCCCCCAAAGATCGTACTGTAGTTTTCCTTTTGGTTTCCCTTTACAACCGCCAAAAAACCGGGGTGCCGACTGAAAACATAAAAATAAAAAAAGAGGGAACACAAACAAACAACACCAATAGAAAAAGCAAACAAAAACACCCGCCACCGCTTTCGGCGCGAAAGTGTTGGAGGTCCCTGGACCTGCTGGACGCCTTCTGCCAGCTCTTCGGGTGCTCAGCGCTGCAGCTGCTCGCGGTGGCCTACCTCACCCGCCGGGGCCTCGGTCCCGGCGGTCCCGGTCCCGGCGAAGCGCGAGGACCTTGGGAAGTTGAGCCCCCCAAAAGCGGCGGGGGTCCCAAGATAGACTTTAATTCAGGGACGGATCCTTGCCCCCGAAAGGAGCCCAAGATAGACTTAAGCTTAGGGGGTCTCCTTTTGGGGGGAAGGAGTTGTTTCTGGGTTTAAGTCTACCCTGTAGTCAAAAAGTAGAACCCTGACGGCGGGTTTGTTGGGGGAGTTGGCTTAAAGGGAAGCCAAGGGAACCCGCCTCGTTTGACAGGGCCTCTGCCAGGCGTTTCTCTTTTTGCGGTGGTGTTAGGCAGGCTTCTTGTTCGGTGTCTCTTCTTCTCCGTTTTTTTTTGTTGTTGTTCGGTTTCCTTTCTGGTGGTTAGGACCATTTCTTAGCGAGTAATTATTTGGTTGGATTCGGCCTGCGGACCCGGAAGGCGTCCGAAGCAACTTGACCCAGAGATGTGCCAAGAGGTTTCTTGGGGAGTGATGTGAGGGACATTTTTGGGATCTCCGCTGGTTTTTCCTCACGGAGTAAACGCCAGTCCGATCGGGGGGTGTGGTTTTTGGAGGCTCGGCAACCCTTTTCAGGTTGGTTCGAAGGCAAGCCAACAGGAACACGCCTCCCTTGCCCCCCCCCCCCCGCGCCTCCCCGCCCGGTTTGAATACACACCCCTTTGCTAGAAGGCAACCTTCGCTGGGTTCTCTTTGAACTTTGGCATTTGGAGGTTCACTCAGGGTGGGCCAGAATCCATTTTCTCATGGCAAACCTGAGGTGGCGGGTCCCCAAGGGTTTAAACAATTAGTTTCAACATCACCTTTTTGTACCTCACTTTGTTGGGTGATGGCATCACTTTTTGTCTTCCCCACTTGGGGTGTTTCTAAGATGGGCTTTTGGTCGCGAGTGTTGCCTTTTGATGGCGTACAGTTGGTCAATCAGACACCCTGTTGATTTTAACGGGTGTAGCCTACTTTGAATGAGAGACGGATCATTTTTGGGGGAGAACACACCCTATTGATATGCACCATTTAATTGATCGAAGCTCGACATGGTGGCGCCAATTTGCCAGTTTGTTTTGGTTTGGGCTCTTCCAAATAGAGAGTTGGTCAATGATCATCCGCAATCCCCAGAACAAAGGGTCACCTTACATTTTTCTTGCGCCCCTTAATTCCTCCCTATATGTGGACACCAACAAGTTGCAGTTTCATTGGAAGGGTAAATTGATCAGCTTTCGATTTCGGGGGGAATCTGTGCATGTGTCAAAATGGGGGAACCCAAGTTGCGGTTTCCCTTTTGGTTTCCCTTTGAACCAACCCCAAAAAGGTTACCCACAAAAAACAGACAGATCCATCCAGTGGCTCCATTCTGTTGCTTCCCTGTGGTACCCCAGAAGGAATCTTCCTATGCACCCCTGCAAAAAGTCCCAGGTTTTCTCCCCCCTGCCCCCCACAAGAATCTGATGGTGGACGCGTGGGACCCCGCAAAAGTATCAGAGACCCTCGGGGCCTCTGAATGTGCTTAATGACCTTTCGGTGGCACTGCAGCTTGGAGGAACTTTCAGTCCATTTTTTTGCCAACCACAAGGCCACTACCCCACCAGCGAACATGGGTTTGTGCACAGACCCCTGTAGAAAGGCTACTTTCCTCTTGGAAAGGGCCTTTTTGCACTTCCATGTTAGTTGGTGGGAGGCTAGATCCGGACCTCTCGGGCCAGGCTGCCTCTGGCTGCTGCTGCGGAATTCGGTGCTGGACGCCTTGGCAGGCACGGCACCATGCCTCACCCAGGCGTGAGAGTGGCAGGCCTTTGGTTTTTGACCCTACACTCATGGGGGCTGGGGGGGAGGGAGGGGAGGGGGAGGAGCCCAAATAAGCCCTTACTAAGCCCTTAATAAGGCCATATTTAGGGCTTATTTGGGCTCCCTCCCCTCCCCCTCCTCCCCCACAGCCTCCATGATACACCCCACCGACACCTGGGGAAAAGGCTTTGATGGCAAGAAGAAATTCCCTTGGGTTGAACACGGACGACATGTTTTTATTTTGGGGATCTTCAGGCAAACCCTTCTTCCTACGAGTCACTCCACAAAAGCCGTGTTCAACCTTGGGGCAGTGGTTTACTTCAAGGCGAGGAAGTGGACACTCCACTTGGCAGTTGACTGCTTGAACATCCCCTTGGGGTTGAACATGGACAACATGTTTGATTGGGATTTCCGGCGTTTAGCTGTTCATTATGAGTCACCTTGACTGCTATCGGGCCACGGATCTTCAGACTCTAACCTTTTGCTTGAAATCAAGGTCTTTTCCGAACGAAACATCCCCAAGAAGTGGTCCACTTGCAGGGTCCTTCCAGCAACCAAGGACTCTCGCAGAAGCTCTTAGTCTGCTGAGGATGGAGGTTGTAGGTTCTCTGTCCAGGCTACAGCGGAGCTGCGGACGTCCAGGTCGAGGCGAAGGATGCCCGGGGAGAAGCGGACGGAAAAACGAGCTGGGGGCAGGGCTCGCCCGATTTTTTCTTCCCCTGGTGGTTGTAAAGGGACTCTGTCGGGTCTACAGGGACTCCCGACTTCACTGCTGGACATATATTTTTGTTTCTCCGCGGGGGCTGAAGCAAATGGAGGTTATTGTACTGCCAAATCTAATTCAAGCTTGCCAGGTCTTGAAGATGACGATCTGGAAGGTCCAAATGGTTCAATGGCGATGAAGAGTTGCGCGTATCGGCAGAAACAAATCTCAAGTGGCCAGAGGGGTCCAACCTGGACGTGCAAGTGGGAAGTTGATCGAGCCAGTGCCTTCCAATGATTATTCATTTCCAAAATGGAGCTGGTGGGTGCGTGCCGTTGTTGAGTTTTTAGTCCAATACTGATTTAGTTTTTTGTTCTACCAGGCCGAGGCGTTTTTGGCAGTTGTGACTGTGGTCAGGAACTCAAGTGCGCTCGCTCAAGTGTACTGTGCAAGCGCCAGCCAAATAGTAGGCGCACCCCCTCAAGTGCACGCGCCCAGCGCTGTGCACACGCTTGCCAAATGGGAAGCGCATCCGCACACTGCCAAATGGTAAGCGCGCCCGCTCAAGTGCACGCGCTCAGCACTGCACAGCGTGGATGCAGAGCGGACGATTCACGGAAAACGAAAGCCGCCGCTGCCTGATTCGATTGCTTTTTTGATAGACGACCCGCGTTTCGACAAGGTTGAGTGGTAAAAACCACGCCCCCTTCGCGGGGTTACTGCCTAGTTTTCCAATGGGTTCCCACAAAGGATTTTCAAGCTCAACTCCCAGCTGAAACTCGGGCAGCCTTCAAACTACCATCCGAACAAAGCCCCACTCTACCATACACTTGAAACTGAACGAGAATTGGTGAATCTCCGAAGTTTCAATGTGTAGCGCATGTAGGCCAACAATTCAGCTGCAAAACTTGCTGGTGCTCAGTAGGGAATGGAATGAATTTGGGGGTCCCCCGAAAGGAAACCACCGGTTGGATGGTTCATAGGGTTCATTCCATTTCTCATTCCCTGCCTATCGCACCAAGCAAAGGAACCGGTTTCTGTGAAGGTTTCTGTTCTTCAGCTCACGCGGCCAAAAAAGAGCCGCCACCACTGGCAAACTGCCAGCGTTCGGCAGGAGCTGGAGGGGAAGCGCCAGGGGGCTGCGTGGCGGAAGTTCGACTACGCCAAGGACTGGGGCGACACCGAAACAAACTTGTCATGCTGACCCCGAAAACATACACCCGTCCCCCAAGAAAGGGCGATGTTCCCTCCAAAAGTGCCGGATTAAATCACCCGTGCTATGAATTTGGGGGGGTGTTCCCTCCAAAAGTGCCGGATTAATGTACCCGATTTATTATTTCAAGGGGGGTTCTGTCCAAAAGTGATGACACTAAACCCAGGGAGACCCCCCGGTATCACTAGGACAGGTTTGTTCATCCGCGGACAACATTGAAGGTTTCATCCCTGGCGAACCAGGCCTTTCGCAGAATCCGATCCGAAAGGTTGCGGCAGGGGTTTCCTTTCCCTCGACTCACTCCTTCGGGCGACCTTGCTGACAGGTCTCTGTCAGTTCAAATGGGTCCGTGCAACCGAACAATTTTCCTCCCTCCTGTTGGACGGCTTTTCTACCTGTTGGGACGCCAACAGGTCAAACCGAAGAGCCAGAAAGGCTGAGTATTTCGTTTTACTAGAGGCCAACGTGGCCTGTGGCTCGGTCCAAATCTCAGTCTATGGTCCAAGAAGAGAGAACGGGGCGAGCTCCAAACTTCCCCACAAAAATGGGGCGGCAGGGCCCAAATTCTCCCATGCGGCTGGAATCCCTTCTTTGTGCGTACGGAAAAAGAAAACAGATCCGCCGAACTCCCTTTTGGGGGGTCCAAAACCAATCCCTTCTTCCTTTCGGGGTGGTCCAAGACCTCGGAGCTCCGACGCATCGCTTGATGCTTCAGGAGTGGCCGGCGTGGCCGAAGGGGTCGATCCCGTGCTGGGACCCCGCCAGCAACGACTTCCTGGGGGAAGTGCCCGCGTGCGGCGCGGAAGAGGCAGGAAGAGGAGGGTTGGAAGGGAAGAAAACCCCACGAGAAGTGGCGAGGGTAAGGGACACAGCCTGGTTTCCGACACACTCCTATCTCAAAGAAGTTGTATGGTCCCTTCCTAGGTCCCCCGGCTAGGTGCCCTTTCTCACCAGCTTTTTTTGGGGAGGGTTCCCCGTACTAAAATAGACTACCGAAAGAAGGGTACCCTTATTCTAACCTCTCTACTGGAGGACTATTTGGGCGCGTCTTCTTTTTAGACCCCCCAAACCGGTGTTCGGCATCTTCCCTTCTGGTCTCCAAGTTGAACACCCACCCTCAAAACGGGAATACCGAGGCTCCAACCAAAAAGACGCCCCCATTTGGCTGGAAGCACGAGGTCGCTTTTCGGGTCTGGGCTCGGAAGAGTTCAGGTGGCGCAGATGGTGCAGAAGGCGCGGAAGGCGCAGCAGGTCTGGAAGACTCTTTGGCAAGGAAGGGAAGGACGTGGTTCCGAGCTCTTTTTCTTTGAGGCGAAGGGCAAGCCCTCCCCCCCGCTTTTTGGTGGGTTGCCAAGGGGAAACCAGAAGTTGAACACCGAGAATCGAAATCCATAGTTGGGCATGCCCAAATGGTTTGTGCATTTTCTGACCTTTTTGGGATCACATTTTGATGCATGCTTGATCTTCCTGGCAGTTCGCAAGGCCATTTTGGGGCTTTAGGTCGAAGGATGCAGACAAAAATGCCCTCAGAGGTGGAGCCGACCTTGTTCGTTGCAAAAGGTTTTATGGTTTCGTGCTTGTGAATTGTAAGGTCGACTTCGGATTAATCCGGACCTTGCTTGTTGGAAAAGCCCCCCCCCTCCCTGAAAATGCAGTGATTTCCTATTGAAAGGGGCTTGCCGCCGAGTTCGTACAGTCCTTGCTAAAATCCGAAGTCAACATGACTTGCACCTCTTTCGCGGGCAGCTTCTTCGGCTGGGAGATAGGATGCCACAAGCTTAGTGAATCTCAAGGCCTTCCTTCGAGAAAGGGTTCCGTTCCCAAAAGAAGGGTTCTATTCCTTCGAGAGAGGGGTTCTTTCCTTGGTTCTGTTCGAAAAAAGAAAAAAACAAAAAAATCGGGGCTCCAAGGAAAGAGCGACGCACCCGTGCTACGTGCTACGCCCAAATACGGGGACTGGGATCGGATCCAAACGGGAGATTTGTCCGTCGACAGCTAGGTCCCCCAGCGAAAGGGCGCCCTTTCTCACCGATTTTTTTTTTTGGGGGGGGTTTTTGTCGACTAAAATAGACTAGAGAAAAAGGGTACCCTTATTCTAACCTCTCAAATCTGGAGGACCTAGTATACACTGGTGAATCTGGTACGGTCGCCTCCGTTCTTTCTTTGCTTTAGAAGCAACCACGCTCCGTCCTTGTTTGGAGGAATCAACCGCACAGGAATCGCCGGATTAATGCGCACTTGGAAGCTCACGCTTTATTCAGGTGCTTTCTCTACAGTGATAGAACAAATCAGATGAATTTCTCCCGCTTCCCATTTCCTGGATTGTCCAGGTACACAGCCTTGAATAGGCGAATCAGATTTGTTCTTGGTCAAGTATCTTGCGGGTCAGCCGCAAAATCAACTGTCCTGCCCCTCAGCCGAGGAATTCCTCTTTCGCCCAGCGGCGCTATCTTCTACGAACGCCGCTCGTCATGTGGGTTCGGGCATCCCCTTTCCGCAGAGCTTTTGATCCGAGCCCCTTAGAAGGGTGGGTGGGTGGGTGGGTGGGTGGGTGGGCGGGTGGGTGGGTGGTGAGGCCTTTGTGTTTTTTTCCCTGCAGAGTGGACGACATGAGAGAGAGAGGCTTGCGACTGGTCCGGCTTCAATTAATCTTTTACCCCAAACAAGTGTTTTAGATCCTTCGCTCACATATGACAGAGAGAGAGAGAGTGAGAGAGACGGGACACCTGCCCTTACCCGGGGGGGGAGGATCGTTCCCATCCAAGGTGCACAGCAGAAAAATAGCTCGGCTTCCGATCGGTTCCAAGGCGTGCCACGAAAAAGCTTGAAATGCGACGGCCGGGCTCGGGCCTGCCGCCCAACCTTCCCAGGACATCAAAAAAAGCACTCCCTGAGTTCCGTTTCGGACTTACCATTCTAGTGTTTGTTTGGTTGGGAAACAAATTTTGGGAAACAATTTCCTGGAAAAAAAACCACTTCTTGTGGTCAATAAACAGTTTTCTTTTTGGGCAATCCAGTCAGGAAGTGAGACAAGGGGTCGATTTCTCGCGCCAACCTCCGATCCAGGGCGTACCAACCCCCAAACGTTTTGCGACGCTCCCTGATACACGCACACAAAACCACAAACATATACATACACATACCTTGCATGAAGGGTGATGGTACCTATGAAGGCCTATTGTCATGTATCCTTTGAGGGTGTATGCCTGAAGTGCCCTCCTGTACCTGTTGGTTGTAGACCCCCTTGTTGGCTAGAAGCTAGCTCTACAATGCTTTATATAAGGCTTAGACAGTATAGGGCCATGACACTTGACTGGGGAGGGCTGTCATTGACTCCACGAGATTGGGTGCGTCTCCAAGAGGATCCCTCAAAAATGGGGCTTATTTTCCCAGGACTAACAGGGAACCAACAAAACCACACAATCTCATTTTCAGGAAAGGATCGCTTTGCGGACAAGGACCGAACCCCCTTTGTGGTTCGAATCCTTCCTTTCATGTTTAAGATCCGATCTGCGGATCTGACCTTTTTTTGGGTCGCACACATGCGCGACTTTGTTTTGAGGACACATGCAAACCCCCTTTGAACGGAATCCTTTCCGTAGGAGAGCTGATGCTCCCCAGCCACCCCACCCCCACCCCAGCCCCACCAGCCGAGGATCTCCCGCTTCGTGCTGCAGAACATGGAGACCATTTGCACGGTGGCCTGCCGCGACAGCGGCAAGACGGTGATCGATGCCATGGTCGGGGCGCCGCGGCCGGAGATTTTTTTTGCTCGAACCCTTTCTTGCGCCGCGGGAAGCCGTGGGACGCGTTCCCTTTGGGTTTGATGGGCCAGTTTTTGACCAAGACTTGAACCCAGAGGTGAGTTTCCCGTGTCTGCCTTGAAGTCAGCAATGGTGCCCTGCCCAAAACTGTTGTGTTGGTTTCCTGTCGGTTTCCGGAGAAGCAACCAACCCCAAAGAGGATACCGATCCTCGAAGAAAGACCCTATCTGACATGTTGACCAATCTTTCAATTGATTAGCGGTGGCTGGAACCAAGAATGGATATACATGCTTGAACTTTTAAAGCCCGGGTAATTGAACCAAAACGTTGTATTTCCCCTGGTTTTAAACATGACCTTATGGTTGACAAATTGAGCGATTTTCCTTTGGGGTGATGTTTACAGGAAGAAGTAGAGGGAAACCTGAAAACTGAAGGCAGCGAGCGAACTAGAAGCGCCAAGTGCGGTTTTGGATGTCTTGACTTTGGTGTGCGGGCCCAACAACGGGAAGTTTGAAGTGGGACTCACTTGTTTTTCCACCCCCGAAGCGATTCTTTTTTAACCTCCATTCGATTTGTTGGATCCTGTGGGCCGGGCAAAAAGTAGAGGTCGGGGTCGAAGAACCGGCTTTCGGTTTGGGATGGATGGTGGAGATGACTTTCATTGTTTTGTTTGTCAGGTCGGTTGGGTTTCTGTTAGTTGCTGGTTGGATGCTTGGGTTGGTTGCGTCGGTTTGGTTGCTTGTTTGGATGGTCAGGTTGTTTGGTTGTTTCGGTTGATTTCGTTGATGCGGTCGGATCCCCGCTAGTCAGGCGGTCGGTTGGTCGGTTGGTGGTTTGGTTGCTTGTTTGTGGATGATGCACAATCCGACTCAACTGAGCCTTCATGCTGCCCCTCCCATTGACGTACTTTCCCTGCAGCAAAGCTTAGGCTGCGCGTGATTTCTCATCTCTTCTGAAGGTGCAGAGGCTGCTGGACTAGTGAGTTGCATTGAACATTCTGAACCCCTTCTTGGACTTCCTTCAAAGAGAACGATATGTACCACTGTCAAAAGGTTGGTAGGGGTCACCCTCATAGGGACAACCATGGTAAGGATTCCTCTTGAGGAAATCACCCTCCGCAGGCGGAGTTTTGGCATCGCCCCTTTCTCCGCAAAACGGAAACCCAGCATGCTTTGGGGTCGAAGCACCTCACACCGTTTTAACATCATTCTGGTGGCAAGTGTTGTCCCTTATTTTCCAAAGACCCTTTGAAGTTTCCATTGAACAGCCACAACCAAAACCACGTGTTTACCCAATCATCAACATCAACAGCATCATCACTGTCAAGATCAGTACAATCATCAGCATCATCAACATCATCATCATCATCTTCATCATCATCATCACCATCATCACCATCACCATCATCACCATCATCATTTTCAGGACCCTGTTAAAAATTCCATTTGAACAACAACAAAGAACCACGTGTTTACTTACCCAAATTCCAGACCCTCCCCTTGCATCCCCGGCTTGAGGGTTCCTAGTTTCGGACTTGTCTGCTAGGAGCTGACGGTGACCTTGGAGAAGCTGCGATGGACTTGCGCTTATGGGGAGGAGTACCTCTTGCCCGAGTACCGGGACTCAGGCACGGATTTTTTTACCGGGGTCTCCTTCAAACATATTTTCTTTTTTAGGTGACGTTAATTTGGTAATATTTGGGTGGTATTAAATCATATTTTATATAAAAATGATCTCATATGGCCGTGGGTCAACACCAATGGGATCCCATTTTGGGGTAGGTGAATTCACCACCCATCTTAGAACCTATTTTAGCGGTTGGATTGGGATGTTCACTGGGTGGGTTTCCGGGGTTTTGACCCAGACCCAAATTTTTCTCCCCAGCTGAAGGCTTCGGGGTCTCTGCCCCAGCTCGCGACTTCTTGGACGGCTGATGAGCGGGAAGAGGTCCGCAAGCATGGGTGTCCTTCTTGGGGACATAGATGGCACTGGTAGATGATTCAGCCACCTGGAAAACCAGGGCCTTGTATTTTTAGGCAAAACAACCAAAAAGGACACCTATGTTCGCAAGAACACTGCGACGTCCGTACCAGGGCGTCGCATCGAAATTTCCTTCCAGACCACGGCCTGGAGTGATTAATGGAGCGACCGGTTTTCTCACCGCTTTCATTGCGTGTCATGCCTTGCGTGCTCTCGGCACGTGAGCGTCTCTTTCTCTGTCTGTGTGTATCTGTGCGCGCGTGCGTCCGCGTGCGAGCGCGTGAGTAAGTGCGTGCGTGCGTGCGTGCGTGCGTGCGTGGGTGAGCGAGCGAGCGAGCGAGCGAGCGAGCGAGTGTGTGTGTGTGTGTGTGTGTGTGTGTGTGTGTGCGTGTGAGTCATACCCCGCGCTCCCGGGTGGGGCGGGGGGGTGGGGTGGGGGTTTCGCGCATTCAAGTCGGCTTGCCCACGACCCGCCCTGCGCTGCGCACGAGACAGACACACATGCGCGGACACAGACACCCCCAGTCAAGTCACAAATCGTCTTTTTGACAGTTTCCCGTTGTCGCAAGCGACCAAGCTTCAGCCGTCGTCGCAAGTGATACGCCAGCCCGAATCTGAACATATGACTTTTCTGTGTGCCCAGATGTATCCTTTCTCGCGCAAGTTCGAAAATCGTCCTTATCGGATGATTTGGAGGACCTCCTTGTAAAGCAAGTGGTTTTAGATGTTTCCATGGTTGTAGGAAATCTGGTTTTAGGCCGTCACTTGCTGTGACACAAACGGAATCGCCCTAAAAGTGGTTGTGATGTGGGCTTGGAAGACAAGACGAAACCAGCCCTAAGCATTCAGGATTCGCCCCTCAGATTTATTGGGGAGTCTGTTAAAAAATGACGCCCAGGTATCGTCGCTGTCTGTCATTTTTCTTCCTCTCCTTCCTCCTTCCTGCCTGCCTGCCTGCCTGCCTTCCTTCCTTCCTTCCTTCCTTCCTTCTCTTTTCTTTTCGTTTTCTGTTCTTTTTCTTTTTCTCGTTCTTTTTTTTTTCTTTTTCTGTTTTTTGTCTTCCTTTTTTCCCCCCCGTTCCTTTTACATTTTTGCCCACCCGACAGGAAGGGGTTGTTAGACTTTATGTTGGAATCCGCGTTTGCGATGCTTCTACACCACGCCCCCACCCAGTATCCCGCCAGAGCAGCTCGCCAGTGGACCGCCAGAGCAGCTCGCCAGTAGATCCCGCCGAGTATCCCGCCAGAGCTGCTCGCCAGTGGATCCCGCCGAGTATCCCGCCGAGTATCCCGCCAGAGCAGCTGGCCAGTGGATCCCGCCCAGTATCCCGCCAGAGCTGCTCGCCAGTGGATCCTGCCGAGTATCCCGCCAGAGTGGCTTGCCAGTGGGTCCCGCCAAGTATGCCACCAGAGCAGCCCGCCAGTGGATCCGTATCCCGCCAGAGTAACTCGCCAGTGGATGCCGCCAAGTATCACCCAGAGCAACCTGCCAGTGGATCCCGCCAGGATCCCGCCAGAGCAGCTCGCCAGTCTGGTTTTGCTTAATGTCCCGCCCGGCGCGCAGTTGGGTTTACATTTCATGTTGGTGCCTTCGTGTTTCGAGTGCACCCTGAGGCTCGGAAAGGTGATGCTTTTGTGTTGCTTTGGGTTGTGAATAAGCAACTTTGTTTATTCCCGCGTCGTTTGGAAGGGGCTTGGCTTTTGTTAACGGAACCGATGTTTGAGTTCTCGAGATCGGCTCGCAGACAAGTGGAGTTCAGACAGGTGGATAAGGCTCTCAATGCAAAGCTTGTTGAGCAGTCATAGGCCCCAAGCCACTCGAAAACCATGCTTGAACACAACCGTGTTCACGGTCGTACGCTCGTGAGTGTGGAGGGTGGGGATTGCTCGAAGCGAAGTAATCTTTTAGTTCTTTTCTTTTCTCGTCTTGTCTTGTCCTTTCTTTTTGTTCCCGTTTCTTTTCTTTTTGGGAGCCTTCTGTTTTTGGCGCAGCGGTGCAGCATATATTCGCACGTTGACTCCTCGGCTCTGATGTCTGCTTGTCGTGCGACCACCTTAAGACTCTTCTTGCATAGCTTTGTGTGTAAGGTTGACCCCGTGTGAATCAACCTCTGTTCATTAATATGGGGGTGTTCCCCTCCAAAAATTCCCCCCTACACCCAGCAATCCCCCCTATTGATAAGCAGGCGTGTATTGGGACTATTGCCAAAGCTTGGCATTTGAGTCCAACCAAACCAACAAATTCAACCCAGCCCCACAGAGCCCTCCCAGCAGCGCCGGAGGCCTCATGAATTTGCACAAGACGAGCCGCGTGGAGTGGGTGCCGGTGGGGGTGGTGGGGGCGATCGTGCCCTGGAACTACCCCTTCCACAACGTCTTCAACCCGGTGATCGCAGCGGTCTTCTCAGGGACTGGAAGTTAGCGAGGGGGGGCGCTTGGAACTTAAGGAAAGGCTGGGGGTCCTGCCTCTGGTGGGTTCCGTGTTTGGTGGGAGGGTAATGGGGTGAGGGGAGGTTTGATCGTTTTCTCTTTTTGCAGTGGGGGGGGGGGTAAGTTGGCAATTGGTTCAGCATGTGATCTCCAGATTTACGAGGGACGACAACCGCCCATGAACTTTTTTCAATTCTGAGCAGCCACAAAAGTCACGCGACTGGCTCAACTCACTGAATGAATTGCTTTGCCCGTTCTCACAGTTCTATGTGGGAGCATTTTTCTATCATGTCAGATTAGCTTCCGCGAGCTGGCTTGTTGCGAGGTACCTCCCATTTGGTATTGAGAGGAACTGGTGGTTCACAAACCAATGCAAACCACTAGAGGAGTGAGTCGCTGGGTTGAGTTCACTCCGCAGGAATGCCATTGTCATCAAGGCCGGGGTCCCTATCGGGCAGTTGCACCCTGGATGTGGTGGGGAAGCAACTTTGGATCTCCAAAATCAGGGGTTTGGAACCTCCAAAAATGGCAGTTTTAGTGGACACACTACACACTCCAGTAAATTGCAGTTTTTGAAAGGCAAGCCTCGAAGAGAGGTCTCAACAGACACACACGCAGACACAGACACAGAAACACAGAGAGACACACACACACACACATTCGTTGGGAGGCAACCCTGTTGCAAGATCATTTGAGCACCAGGGTATAGGTCAAAATTGCAAAATTGGGGGAACCCCCCCCGAAAACGGCTTTCGGATTCTCTCTTGGCTTCCCTTCAAAAAAACCTAAAAAGGGTACCCTCAAAGCTTGCTGTTTCGATCACTGCACAAAATATCGTTGGAGCCCCGTGACGGCCCTTGGGGGCTCCTCTACTGTGGCTGGACGAAATCCATTTCGTATCACCTGAAAAACCATAGCATGATCTGATTCCCCTGTACATACCAACAAACGGTCTGGTTTCCATCATGGTTTTGTAAATGGTGCAGGATTGATTGTGAATGAATGTGAGTGGCAATCAGATAGAGAATGGAGCCCCGATCAGCCCCCATTTCCTGACATATCCAAATGACATGTGTGCGATGCAAGATACGAGGGTTTTTGCGGTCCAAGATTCCACTCTGCGGTCCGGGAGGGACAGGGGGAGCTCTAATTTCCCCGCAAAACCCGTGGACGGTCGAATTGTCCCATGTCCTCTAGGGGAAACACGCAGTTTTCACCGTGGCCCGATGACTCGCAAGTGCCCCGCAAGCTCGGCACGCTGCCCATCTCCGCCACTAGCTTTCGGGTTGGTTGGACGCAAGAGGGCTGTGAAATTGACCACCCATTGTAGACACATTTTAGCGGTTGAATTGGGATGTTCACTGGTGGTACGATTTGTATTTTGACCCATGGCCATATCAGGGACGGCGAATTCGGTTTCGCTTAAAGAGCGGTCTAGGCATGTTTGAAGGGGTTGGCCCAACTGTGATCCGGCACTTCGGGGACGATCTTGAGCGCCTGCACCGATTTTGTTTGCATCAATATCCACGTTGGTCCGCGGCAAAGAACTTTGGTGGATGCCCTCACTCTTTTGGAAGTGTTTTCAAGGCTCACATAGCCAGCCAAAAAACTAATGTGATCAAGAAACTCCACAGTGGGACCATAACTGAAGGGGCCGACATGCCTGTGGGTCAAAATTAGGGTAACCCCAAAATGGAACCCTGGTAAATGGAAACAATGACTAAAACCTGCGGTCGCCTGGTGGTTTAATTTTGACCCATACCCACATGAACTCACCTTTTCAACCTTTTGCTGTTTTGGGCCTCCCCTTCAACCTGATCAGCGGAAGTTGTCTCACTTTTGGCAGGGCGTCAGTGCACTATACCAGATAGAGTCTTGCTCAGCAAACCCGCCCCTGGAATAGATAGACTTGGTTGATTATGTCTACCCACGGAGTCACCAAATTCCCGCCCAAGCAAGGGGTACTGTCAAGCTTGGGGGGTGAGTGTTTGCTTTGGACATTGGGAGGAAACACACACACACACAGATTTTGTGTAGACGGTTGCATAGGCATTGGGTCTGTCACGCAAAGAGAGCCGCGCATGACCGAGATGTTGAGCCGCAAAGCTCCGCCCTAGGGCAGCTTAGGGGTTTAGGTACAAAGCGGGCAGTTCAGAGCCCTAGGGCTGCTTAGGGTTCCTCTCGCCGCCTCCATTGGGTCTGTTACGGGTCGCTCCGCCTGGCACTCTGGGGTTTAGGTACCAGGGGGTAGTTAAGAGCCCCAGGCTTCCTTAGGGTTCCTTACAAGCCCTTCGCTTAGGGACCCTTTGCTTAGGGAACACTTGCCTCTGAGCCAATGATGTATGCTCGGTGACCTCATGACGATTCTTTGGGATTTGCGAACTCGCTAGTTACGAGACGGGGGCGGGGGGGGGGGGGGGCGGGCATGAAATGGACAGCATAGCCTACATGTCGGGCTCCGCTGCAGCAGTTAAAAAACATATGCGCCGAACTCAAGCAGAACCTCGTACTTCCCTTTTCGGTGGATTCAAACAGCACCTTTTGGGGTCCATTAAGAGAGTTGGCGAACTACGCGTATGCGTCGAATCAGAGGTACCCCCAACACCGAATTACAGTTTTCTTCTGGTTTCGCTGGAGAAAAAACCTCAAACAGGCTACCCGTCAAAAACACGAAGGGACCTGTGCAACTTCTGTGGGGGTGTCTCAACAATTGTTTTTTCCTTCCCCCCCCCCCGGCAAAGAAAAAAAGGAAACAAAAAAACAAATCACAATTCAAAGCCGCCCTCTCAAGAAACGGGTGCCCTACAACCCCCCCCCCCCCCGCCAAGGGTTCCCTTTAAAACCACCCCAAAACGGAGCCCCAAAAAAACCAGACACACCCAGAAAAAGCGGTTGGACCCCATGTAGCATGAGAAAGCCGCGCCTCAAACATCGAGCGGCGCAGCCTTCGCTCGAGAGGTCTCGGAGTTCTCAGCCTGGAGCTCAAGTTATCTGCAGCGGGCCTTGGCGCAGTGCCTGGAGGCGGGTGGGACGCGGGATGGGGCGAATCAGACCAGCGCGGCCTGGTGATTTTTTTGATATCTAAGACACTCCCAGCTCCTTTCGCGCTTTTTTCTTGAGGGATTTTTGGGCTGCTTTAAATGGCCACCAAAGGGGAGCCACCCCCAAACCTCCGAACCACCAGGCTCCAAGCCGCCCTTTTTGTTGAAGGGCCCTAGAGGTGGGCTCTGTAGGAATGATTCGAATCACCCCCCCAAGGCAGTTCCACTCACTCCTCTCCCCAGTCTCCACCTGGCTCCAGGCGGCTGAAGCGCCCACAGCGCCTTCCGTAGCGTCTTCCGCCGCGAGCGCGGCGTCGGCGCCAGGCCGCCGGCGCGCCCCAAGACTTGGTGCAGCTGGCGCCGGGCTACGCGGAGGCGGGGAAGGCGCTGGTGGAGCAGAGCGACAAGGCGGGGGGGCGGGGGCGGGGGGGGCCTTGGGGGAGGTGGGGTGTTGGGGGGGTGTGGGGGTGGTTGTGACGGGTGGGGTGTGTGTGGGGGTGGTTGTGAGGTGGTGGGGGTGTGGGGGTGGGTGGGTGGGGGCCTTGGGTGTCATGGAGCTGTTTTGCGGACAAGAACCCTCCAAAAAGCAATGCCTTAAAGGAAGGTGGTTGCAAAGGGTCCATCATATGGGGGGGTGGTGGGGTTTGGGGGGTTTGGGGTTGCAGTTCATGAGTGAAAGCGGGGCTGGCTGGGGTGGGGGAGGTTTGCTTGGTGGTGACTTGAGGGCAGGGTTGGTGGCAAAACGTTCCTTCACTCAAACTTTGGTCCCCTTGAAAGAGAAACCAACATGTGGGTCCTGGAAGATATTTCTCCTCCTCTATCGGGACCCTCCTGCAGGTTCCATGTGAGGTGGGAGGGTAGTTTTTATTCAACATGCAATTGAAGCAAATATTGGAATCCTGGTTGGCGCAGTTGGGAAGAGCACTGTTGGACAAGAGTGCCACCTACAATAGAGGGGACAGACGCCAGCCCAGCACATCACGGGATCCCAAGATTCATAAGAATCTGGCGCAAAGTCGGACATACGAGCCAGGACATCACGAGATCCCTCGATGCATAAAATCCGGCGCAAGCTCGGGAAGGTGTTCATGCACCTTTGGCACGGGGTTTATTTGCATGCCCATTTCAAATGGAACACCAAACAGCGGCCTGGTGAGTCAACGGGTGAAGTGAAACAACCGCCTCGCCGGAGTGCCCAGTCACTCTTTGGGCCCTGTCTTTCCATGGCTTGCGAGACCCAGCGCACCCGTGCCTTGCCCAGCGCACCCACACCCCGGCGTCTCGCTCTTGCCAGTTCTTCCCATCGCCTTTTGGTTCCTGGCGTCTTTTCGCAGCTGCTAACATGGAAGCCTCAAGAGGCATCGCTCGGCGCGTGGAAAGCACGGCGCGCGGAAGACCGCGCTCGTCCCATACCAACCCTATGGGGCATCCGGGAAACCCTGGGTATGGGGCATGTGGGAGGGTTTTGCTGGTCCGATACGCAGATATGGGTTAGTACAGGTATTCTTTTTTCGACAGAGGACCGTTTTCCCTCTCGGAAAGGGAGCCTCTGACTTCCTCTTTGTCTCAAAAATTGGGGACCGCTGAAATGCTTGGCTTCCTTTTGGCTTTGGAAACAGCCAAGCACACAGGTTCCCACAAATGAGCCCAAATCAGAGTTGGACTGGGCCTCAACAAAATAGACTGGGCCTCAACCAAAAACAAGACCCACGTTGGTTGGCGGAACACTTCTCCGGCTTCAAACTCCTTCAGCCGTTCGGTCGGTCGCGGAGGTGATCTTTGTCGGGAGCGTCTCAGTGGGCCGGAAGGCGCGCGGTGGGCAAATGGTGGGCAGGGTGCTGCGTGGGTTCTGAAAAAAAGATCGGGGTTGTTGCCCTGCAAAATGGTTGTTCTTGGAGCTCCCAATTGATATGCTTGCCTCGGAAAGTAAGGGTGCGGCTCAAAATTTTACAGGAGGGGCACACCGCAGGTTTGGGTACCCATGCTTCCACTTGCCTATCGGGCAGCCCAGCTTGGAATTCCGGTTTTTTGAATTCGCCACAGCCATAGGAAGCGGGGCCAAATCCGCCAGCTGCCAAATCAGCCAAGTGTCAATCTGGCGAAGCCCAAGCCACTAGGTCCGTTGGGGTCCATGTGAAACGATCAGCCCCACGTTTGAACGCATCCCGTCCCCTTGTTTTTGTTTTGTTTTGGACTTTCTTTCGGGGTTTCTCAAAATGATGCTCACTTGGTTGGGTGGTTTTGACTGAAGGGAATGACATTGATTGGGGCATGAATAAATCGCCCGCCCAAATGGAGTAGATTTTGGTTGAATCTGTCCCCAGCCGTTCAGTCGGGTCATGCTCCGCCCCTCCCAACTGTATGGTTCATTTCGGACCGGGTTGTGGTTGATCACTCGCTATGGGTTTATCCAACCACTTCTGCGATACTTCTGGGAGTCTCTCCGCTGATACTGTGGGTGGACGAAATCCTGCACCCCTTTGAAACCATGGGAAACCATTGGTGGGTATTTTCAGGGGAATCGCATCATTTTTTAGGGTTTCTGAACGGTGCTGTGAAATGGATGTCGAATCCATCCACAGTATGGGGGGGAGAAGTCCTTGGGGTTCGGCCCTTGTTGTATCGCAGATTCGTGGGAGGCCCATTTCAACCACGGCCCTGAGTTGGGAGGTTCGCCAAAAATTTCCCCGACACGGGAGCAATCACCAATCCCCAAGCTTCTCACAAGAGCTGGGGGCCGTCAAAGAAAACCCCCTTTTCGGAGGCGGCCATTTTCCCCCTTTTTGTTGGGAACCTCCAAAAGTGGCGATCGTTTCAACGGGCACCACCGGAACATTGATCAGCCTTTTATTCGGGTAACTCCAGCTCCCAGGCTTTGGACCTTTTTCCCTGCGGACCTTCTTGGACCCCGAGAAAAAGCCAGGTGATCGCGCCCCAATTTTCACGGCAGTCCCAGGTGTCCTTTTTTGGTTGTTTTGGTAGAACAAGCAGATGGCGATCCCTGGTTTACCTGGTTTCATCGACCAGGGAAACCCATCGAATCGATTTCCCCTAAAAGGGGACACGGACGGCGAGCGAGCGAGCGCGGGGAAACCCCAGCGCATGGATCGGGGGGAAATGGACATTTATGGCCGGAGCCCACTTTTCGTCTCCAGGGTTCTTTATTCTTCCAACCAGAATTAGCCGCCGTTTTTGTTTTTGCCTTCTTTTTTTTTTTTTTTTGCTTTTTTGGTTGGTTCCCTTTGTTTTCCACTCACCAGGCAAAAAAAAATAAAAAAATTGCTGGGGTCCTAATTCCAGCCAAGTATTCAGTTGACAAAGACTCCCAGGAAGTTTGGACCTGATTCCCAATTGGGTATGGGCCAAAATTAAAAACCAGGATTTGGACCGCAGGTTTGGGTCCAGGTTGCCACTTGCCAGGGCAACCCATTTTTGGAATTCCAGATTTTTGACCCAAAGCCAATTGCCCCATATTGGACCCCCAGAAAAACCAGGTGATCGCCCAATTTCTTGCACGACGACCCAAGTCGGGAGGTCATGGAGTCTGCCAGCAAGGCGGACATCATCACCCCCGTGATCCTCGAACTCGGAGGCGGGCGCGGTTTTGGTGCACCGCGAGCTACTGGCACACCATACCCCCCCCCAAGTTTTGGGCGATATGACTGTGTCACTGTTTCTTTGTGGCAATCTGGATGGACACAATCCTGAATCAAGGGCTTTTGAACGCTTCGCGTTGCCCCTCTGCCCCTCAGACGGTATCCGATTTTAAGAGGTTGTGAGCCTTCTCTTCCACCTGCCATGATTCCAAAAAGTTGCTCAAAGCGAATCCACCTGCCATGATCTTTTGATTTCTCTCATTTCTTTCATTTTTCAGTTGCTAAAAGACCCCTAAGGAGATCCACCGTCGCATCCTCGCACACCAAGGGGTCAGCCGCATCCTCTTTTCAAAAAAGTTCGTCAGAGGGCCCCAAAGAAGTGCTCACCTTTTGATTTCCAGGTCGAGGGGCCCGCAGGGTTGTGGTTGGGTCACTCGGGGTTTATCTGACCACTTCTGTGATACCTTTTGGGAATCCCCGTTTCTATGATCAAATTAGTCTTTGGGGTTAGGCCCTTTCTGTTGTATCACAGAAGTGGATTCCATTCCCCACAGCCCTGCCAAGAAACAACCGAGAATCGGGGGCAAAAGCTGCGATTCGCCGCTTCGCCGATTTTCCGCGAGGCAAAGACCCCTTCGTGGTGTGCGAGGATGCGACGGTGGACGAGGCAACTGAACGGGGCTCGGAGGTTGCTTGTGGATCCTTCGTGAACATCACCTTCTTTGGCCCATAGGCGAGTTTCCCTTGGCACGGGTGATGTTTTAAGGGGAAGTATAGGGAAGCCTGTCCCCCAAGAGACAAAGAAACGAAAATAAGAAAGAACGAAAAGAAAGAAAGAAAGAAAGAAAGAAAGAAAGAAAGAAAGAAAGAAAGAAAGAAAGAAAGAAAGAAAGAAAGAAAGAAAGAAAGAAAGAAAGAAAAAGAAAGAAAGAAAGAAAGAAGGGAGGACAGAAAGACAGAAAGACAGAAAGAGAGACTTTGTTTGAACATTTGTTTCAGACACATTTCTTTGTTTGAACTATTTGCTTAGGGATAAACTCTTGGGTAGGGATCAGGCAATCCTGACTCGCAGAGAGTGGGGGGAGTTTTTTTTCTCGCATGGCACAGGCTTTTTTTGTTGTCTCCAAGTGAAAAATAAAAACAAACAACTTTACCGGTGCTTTGGTTTTTGAAGTGGTTTGCTTTTAAAGCAAAACTAAACGGGTACCAACCCTTCAAGAAAGATAAACCCATAGTCAGTTTTCAGGCCTCACATCCATCGGTTTTTCTCCTCGCGCCAGCGTTGCTTAGGCGGTAAGTTGGGTATGTTTCAGGGAGAAAGGATCCAAGAAATTTGAGTGTTGCGCCGGCAAGGGCATTCTTTGCACATGTTCGGGTCCTTTGATACCAGAGGTTTTGATTCTGGCCCGCCTGGCTTGCATCCCAGCCGCCTCAAAACTCAGCTGTATCTTGCGAGGGGCACTTTTGAACTTGGAAGGAACATCCCCCCTATCACCAATCTACCAGCCCAATTGATTCTTAACATGATCCAAGCAAGCGCAACCCACTTCCAACATGACCCTTGTTCTTTTCAACTCTCCTCCGGTTCAGTGACTCGCCTGTTGAACCGTGCACCGCACATGTTTGCCGCGTGTCCCCCCACCCCCGCCTTCTCCAAATCCCCTTCAGCGGGAGTCGGAGGCCATGACGCAGTTGGTGGTGCGGGGCGCCTTTCAGAATATGGGCCAGAACTGTGCCGGCCCAGAGCGCTTCATCGTCTACGAGAAGGTCTACGAAGCTTTGGCGAGCGGCAGACAACCATCTTTTGTGTCCCTGAAAAATTTGGCGGCCGTTGTGTCAATCATCGCCTAAGGGCTTAGGGATCACCAAAGAACTGGTCACTGAGGAAAGACAATGGAAGTCAAGTTGAAAAGGGCCGTGACGGTTGCGTTGCGGCACCGTAGGAAATTGGGAGTGGTTTTTTTTGGACGAGCTGACCCATGCCCTGTTGAAGTCTAACAAGATTCGCAGGTTTTCCACTTCATTTGCACTCCGATTTGCGTGACAGCTCAGGCCGCCTGCGACATTCAGCGGGTCATATGTCAGCGTAAGTGCAGTTTGTCAAATATCTAAACTCTGAAATTGTTTCATCCTTCTTTTCTTCCTAGTATCCACATTTTTCGGGTCAACCTATATACTCCAAGAGATGACAATTTTGATTCCAGTTGCGAGCAGTTCGAATGGCTTCAAACGCTCTCATCGTACAGGTTTGCTGTGAGCTAGATGAGCCCAACAACCGGGTAATGTTGACCCCGGATTAATATACCCCTGTTTATTAATGTGGGGGTGTTCCTCTCCAATAGGTAAATCCCCACTAAAACCAGGGACACCCCATAAAAAAATAAACGGGTTGATTAATCCGAGGTCAACACTAGGTTGGGCTCTGGCTCCTTTTGTTTTCACTTCCCGCCATTTTCTTTGGAGCAACCCGTCGAAATTTCTACTCCGCTCGCGTCGCATGAGCAGCAGCCCGCGCCATCACTGAGGATCGCTTCTGCGACTCGGTGTCCGGCCTGGTGAAGAAGCTTGCACAGGCGAAGAATGAAGTCGAAGCGATGTTCGGACTGAACAACTTTTTGCCCAACTGGGTTTTCCAAAAAAGCACTAAGGGCAGGGGAGCAGAAAGCAACCGAGTTGTTGTTGGGAAACATTGGACACATTTTTGCTTATTGCGGTTTAGTGGTTGAAATCCAACCACTCAACCGCTAGAGTTTTTCAATTTTTGCTCCCCTTCCAACGTCAACCAAGCATCGGCAGGAGTGACTTTGCCAGTGGAATCGAGCGAATGAAGCCGAACTGGGTATGGCTCAAAAGTTTAAGAGGTAGGGTTCCGTAGGTGTTGGTCTTTGTTTTTGCATTTCCCAGGGCGCCATTTTGGGTAACATGTTTTGAGCCACACCTAGCTGAGGCGTTCCTTGTGGTTTGTCCTTTCAGGTTCATTCCCGAAACTCTTAATTCCCGACTGGGTAATTCTGGGAGTTGGTAGCCCCCTTTTCTTGATGGTTGTGAAGGGAAACCAAAAGGAACACAACACTTTTGAGGGTCCAATCTTAGAAGCACACGCACACACGCACCCAACTGAGAGCCAGACAGTGGCAGGGAGCGCCGCTGGGCCGTGACGGTGCCCGCATCGACTGTGGCGCCTGTGTTCACCCGCCCAGCCTCGAGCGGCTCGGTGAACCAAAGCATTGGGGGGGCCTCTTCTTTGAAGTTGGTACCCTTTTTGGAATGGCTTTAAAAGGAAGCCAAGGGAAGTCATTTGTTTTTCGTTTCTATTTCCCCACCTCTCAGGTGAGGGTCTCTAGATTTTATCTCAGCGTCGCCTTCCTCCAACTTCCCCTCCTCTCCTCTCCTCTTCCTCCTCCTCCGGCTCATCCCCTTCCTCCTTTCTATCTATCTATCTATCTATCTATCTATCTATCTATCTATCTATCTATCTCTGTCTTTACCCATCTATCTATCTAACTACTTATCTAACTACTTTCCACCTAGCTGTCTATCTCTCTATGTCTTCACCTAACCTTGCGAAAGTGCTGCGCCTGCCACGCAATCTGTACTGGACCTTGTGAAAGTGCTGCGCCTGCCACGAAATCTGTACTGGACCTTATGAAAGTGCTGCGCCTGCCACGCAATCTGTACTGGACCTTGTGAAAGTGCTGCGCCTGCCACGAAATCTGTACTGGACCTTATGAAAGTGCTGCGCCTGCCACGAAATCTGCACCTGACCTTGCGAAAGTGCTGGATCACTCGAAGTAAAATAATTTGCGACAATGAAGTGTCCTAAACGTAGGATTAGTAAAAGGAAGCCAAAAGGAAATCAGCCAAAAGGTCTTTTCATATTTCGAGACAGACCCAATTGGGCGAAGAGTGCAGGGCTGCCAACAAGGGCTTGGCGATTGAAGGGGGGTAGCAGGCAACCAGGTAGGGAGGGGACGTACCCGTGGGTTTTTGGTTTCGCAAGCGACCTCGTCCTTTGGAAGACTTTCTTGTGTTGTCTGAATTCAGCTTTACGGTACCCCAAACCCGGCAGGATGCTCAAATGCAATCATTAGTCTTTATATGCAGGGGGGTTTGCTTAGTGGCTTCCCTCTCGGATTGGCCAAGCAAACCCGTGTTGAAGAGCCCAGAAATGGCTGTGGGTCAAAAATAGGGTACCCCTTAGTGACCCTACATGGGATGGACCAAAACCTGCGGTCCATATCCTGGTGGTGACTAATTTTGACCCATACCCCAGCCCATCTAAACCAGTGGAACCCATCTATTATTAACCAAATTCGCCTAAGGTCCTTGTTTAGTAATCTTGTCCTACAGGGGTGAATCCACAAAAGCCACATCCAAACCGTTTTCTAGATCCATTTTGACTAGGTCCCACAGTAGTGCCCTTTTACCAACTTTTTCGGGGGCGGGTTCCCCTACTAAAATAGACGAAACAGAAAAAAGTTGGTACCAACTTATTCAAACCTCTCAAATCTGGAGGACCTAGTCGAGGTGCCAACAGGCTAACCTTTTATTTCCAGGTCTTTGGGCAAGTGAGCATACACTGGCAAGTGAGCAAGTGAGCCCAGATCTTTTTAAATAGACGAAACAGAAAGGAGTTGGCGCCAAC